CAGAGCAATCAACAACTTTGGGGCCCCCTTTCCCTTCTGCCCCACACTTCAGCCCCATGAAGATCAATAACAGCAGTTAGGAAGGGAGGGGAAGAAAGAGGTATACCCCATCCCTGTCTACTCAACCTTCCCCATCTGCTACTTCGGGACAAGCAGGCAGCCCACTTGCAACCAGCCCTTGTCGGAGTGGGGAAAATTCCTACCCCTAAATCAGTGGTTCTCAACCTTCCTAATGCCGCGACACTTTAATACAGTTCCTCATGTTGTGGTGACCCCCAACCATAAAATTATTTTCGTTGCTACTTCATAACCGTAATTTTTCTATTGTTATGAATCGTAATGTAAATATCTGATATGCAGGATGTATTTTCATTGTTTGCGACCCACAGGTTGAGAACCGCTGCAAATGAAGATCCAAGTGTTGATTATGAACTAAACATTTCTATGTACTAACTTAAAGTGAATGTACAACTTCTCACCTGAGAATGACCCAGTTAAGTCATGGTACTGCCCAGATTTTCATTCAGGGACAAGAGAAAATTCTTCCATTGAATAAATTTTATAGGAAAGTGGGAGACAAATACAGTTGCATTCCAATTACTAGTACATTCCAACAAGTTATTCTTGTTTAAAGCCCGGATACAGACACAAAGCCAGTCAACAAATAGGACTGACAAAAGTCAGACCACATAAGGACCCTTAGGCTGTTTAACCTTATCCTCTCATTTGACTCATACCCTGACTATAATGACAATGATGATTATAGCCAATTCTCATTGGCTCATGTGTTGCCTATCTCTGTTCTAAGCCCCTAAATCTTAATTCTTTAGTCTTCACAATAATCTTATGCTTATTAAGCAAATGAGTAAATGGTGACCTAATGTTGGGCTAGCAGTAGGGCTTAATAATGGTAAAACAAATCCTTGCTTCATCTGATCTCCCAGCCCCAAGGAAACTTTAAGGATGAGGAAGAAGTACAGAGAAGCAAGCTATGTACTTAACTGTCTTTCTACTACTGGGCATCATTCCACTCTTTATACTGTCAGGTACCCTTGACCAAGCTCAGCTTTTACTCATAGTATTCCACTACCCACACGATCTTCTCCACTCACCTAAATCCTGCTTCCCCTTCAAAGCCTAACCCTCCTGCAGCCACCCTCCCAAACTCAGTCCAAATATCCCCCAGCTCTTAGCTAAGCAGATGCCTTAAGTTACAGAGGGAGAAGGGGCCAGAAAAGGGAAGAGACTTATGCAAAGTCATGCAACAGAATTAATTTTCACTGGAAGGAGAATTTAGGGTCCTGATGCCCAATCTAAGGCAGCAACTCTAGCACGTTAGAATGGGGGCTGATTATGCCTGGGCATGCTAACTCCCAGAGCGAGAGCATCAGCTCTGTAGGCATCCGATTCTACGAAGTAGTGATGGAAGAGAACTAGCTTTTGTTTTTTTAATTTTATTTATTTTTTAAAATGTTTTTATTGATTTTAGAGAGGAAGGGAGAGGGATAGGAACATCAAAGATGAAAGAGAATCATTGATCAGCTGCCTCCTACAGGCCTACAACAGGGGCATGTGCCCTGACCAGCAATCGAACTGTGACCTCCTGGTTCATATAGGTCGACCACTGAGCACACCAGCTGGGTGAGAACTAGCTTTTATTGGAGGACTAGACCCAGCAGCAGGTGGTGGTGGTGGTGTGTGTGTGTGTGGGGGGGGGGGGGGGGGGTTCAGTGCACTGGGATTAGGAGCTCAGGAGCTGGGGGGCAGGGCAAGGCCAGGGCTATGTGATGGTGAGGTGAGTAGAAGCAGGGACACCACAGCTCTCCTTGTGCTCCTCAAACAGTTGCTCCAGAGCCTTCATGTAGAGCGTGTGGTAGTGGTCAACTTCCTCATCAGTGGGGTTGAGGCTCTGGGGCACCAGGATGGGGCGGCCCACTGCAGGGAGAGGGGAGACAGACGAGGTAAGAAGTGCCCACACAGCTGGTGGCAGCTTTCTTCCCTGGAGATGAGGACTCACCCACAGTAGTGATGGGCACAGGGAAGGGCAGCAGGCCCCAGGAGTTGGCTGAGAAGAGACTGCGGCCCCAGAAGATGCAAGGAGCAAAGCCCAGGTACTTCTTGATGATGGACTGGCACAGATACTGCCAAGAGTCTGTGGCAAAAACTTTAAGTCTGAAGACATCATTCTCTCCAAAGGAGTACACAGGTACCAGGGAGGCCCTGGGAAAGAAGGGCAATAGAGAAGAAGGGTGGTTGGGCCAGCAGCTCTTGGAGTACCCCAAGGATGGGAGCCCCAGAAAACAGCCTAATCTCATAATTCCACTTCCCAAGCCCTTTAAAGCAAATGACAATGGCTACTGTGAAAAATCTGGAAAAAGGGACTCACATTTCCTGAGAAAAGATTGTGTACTGAACCTTCATGTATACATTTCCTCATCTAGTCTTTACAACCAAACCATTGCAAGGTAGGTATTAACTCTTTCACAGGTAAAGAAACATGCCTCAGGTCTTGCCTTTGAGATAGTATCCGAGAAGGTTTGTACTATGTCCCTGGCTCTCTTGGAGTGGGAGGAAGCTTGCAAAGTGGACATAGTGCTTGGCACAGAGTAAACACTCAAGCACTGACATGAGCACCTTCCGGGTATAGGGCCCAGTGTGGATGCAGAACAATCTATAGGGTCCCGGGTGTGTAGGGATGGAGAGCGTGCACCCAAAGGTGCGCTGTGAAGTTCTCACCATTAAAAGCAGCCTTGGACTGGTCACCCGCACCCCTCTCACCCGTGCCTCAGCGCCAGGCGTACAAAGCCTTTGCGATTCTGGAGAACAACCTGATGCACCCCTGGGAGTGCATACATGGATTCTTGGGCACCCCCAACCAGGATGACCACGGCCTGCCCACGCCGGGGCTGTGACAGAATAAAATCCAGGCTCTGGCGGCTCACGGAACATACTCCTGCAGGCAGGCATGAGAAAGTGGGAGCAGTCACCACACCCTCCTTGGCTCCCCAGCCCCTCAGCCTACCCATTCCTCCCAACTCCCCTACCCACCATGCCCATGTCACTGTGCCCTATAGTGTCTGTCCCAGCAAGGACACCATAGGACACTTGCTCCAAAGCTATTCACTGATGCCCACTGTGACCCTGGCCAGTGTTCAGACCAGGTCTCTGAGCTAGGTGGGTGGAGGTCACCCTGGCCAGAGAGCATCTCCTCCCACTCACATGGAGGCTCACCAGTGGACATGAGGTAGTCTCGATAGATTGGAATGTGGAGGAGTCCGTCCAGCCCAACTAGTGAGGCCCGAAGCCCAGGGAACTTCTGGGAGAAGCCAGTGCTCTCGGTGGAGAAATTACAGACGGTTCCGACGCACATGATCCCATGTGGATGAGAGCCAAACACATAGTTCCGGTCAGGGGGCAGCTCTACCGTTTTCACCAGCTTTGGGGTGTTGGGCAGGATGAGGGGAAGAAGGCATAGAAGTCAGGACACCAGGTGAAAAGTGTTGCCCCCGCCCTCACCCCAACTGATTTCAGAGATCAAGGATGGGGTTAAGGGCACAGAGGGGCTACTCTTGAACAGCACTCCACCCCCTGCCCCATTGCCTTAGCTTAGGCAGCTGGGGCTCAGGCTTCTGCACTACTAGGGGTGAATAGGTGGGGGAGGCAGGGGAGAGGAAGGAGGCAGAGAGTCTTTCTGGAGGGTAACCAGTCACCTTGATAGGATAATAATCCCTTAGGTGTTTCCAAATGGTCCAGTTCCTTATCCACTTAAACCGCCTTCCACCTTAGGGTAGAGAGATATGCATGGAGGTAGCCCAGCTGCTATCTCCCAATACATGGCCCCCTTCCAGTACTCACCTTGGTTGGGTGTGTTCCAGTCTAGGACGAGCCATGCCAAGTAGAGAACAGAGAATGACCAGAGGGATGTGAAGAGGAGGGAGAAGACAAGAAGGAATGAAGAAAGGCCTGTGTAAAAAATGAGAAAATAAAAATGAATTAGCCTTTGAAACTCAGTCATGTCATCCAGCTGTCCCTCTCCTCCACCCTCAGGATCATACCCTCCCGCTATCTCCCAGCCCCACATTGGCCCTCTCCCTGTCTTTTTGCTCTTGGGCACCCAGATTAGTGGCGCTCCGGCTTTTCTCCCCCAGTCCCTTCTCCCCCTGCGGACTCCCAGCACCCATGCCTCTTCCACTTCTCTCACCCATGAAAAGGAAAGTGAGCACGAATTGGTAGGCACCCACTACTTCCAGCCACTGCTTCTTCAGGGTCTTCATGGTGCAGGAGAGGGCGGCAGGAAGGTGGAGACTCCTATCCCAGGAGCAGTCCTGGGCCAGCAGCGCTCCAGGACCGCAGAAGAAAAAGTACCTGGGAAGGCTTTCTAGTCCGAGGGGCCGAGCCTTTTGGACCTCCGGGATTGCGTGTGTGGTGGGGCGGTGTGAGTGTGTATGTGTGTGTGGAGGGGGGTGTGGACGGGGAGATGGTTGGAGTCGGACCTGTCCAGGCTGTTCTCGGATTGATCTTTGAGCTTCCTGAGTCAGTCAGTCTGGGCTGGCTTGCAGGGCGGGTCTGGGAGGAGCGAGGGGCTGTGGGAGGGAGGTGAGGCAACTACCGTGGGAGACTAAGATGACGCTGGAGAGCCGGAGGGCTGGGCCCCAGCAGCTGGGGGGCCCAGAAGCCCAACTGAGACTGTCTGATAGGGGGTGGAGCCGAGCAGGGAGGAGGCAAGGGTGGGGCAGGACTGAGCGCGCAGACCTCCCCTCTGGGCAAAACACACAAACACCGCCAGTCTGTCCCCGCCTTTAATTTCACCCCCATCCACAGTCACAGGGGGCGGGGAGGGGTGGGGGGCGCCGGCGCGCCTAGGTGAGGACGAGGTGCCGGTCGGCCGGGACCCCGTAGCGCTCCTTGTGCTCTTCGAACAGCCGCGTGAGCCGCTCCACGTAGAGCGCGTGCAGCGCGTCCACCTGCGCCCGGGCGGGCCGCGGGCTCCGCCGCACCGGGATCGGGGCCCCCACTGTGGGCGGAATGCGGAGCGAACCGAGGTCATGGTGCTCACAGTTGTCAAAGGCCAGCTTGAGGGTGAGGTCGGCGTGGCCGCCACCGGCGGCTGGTCAGGACCTTAGACCCCAACCAGGGACCGTGCCGTCCGGCCCGGGGAGCGCGCGGGCCCCGGCTCACCTACGGTGTAGATGGGCCTGCGGAAGGGCAGGAGGCCCAGGCGGCCGTGGAACAGCGGCAGGGACACCCTCAGCAGCGGCTGCAGCGCTTCCTGAGCCGTCCGCACCCACGAGCCCGGTGGGTTCGGGAACTGCTGGTAGAGTTCGTTCTCCCCAAAAGAGAAGACAGGCACCAGAGAGGCCCTGGTGGGGGAGAGGCAGCCTCATTCCCGGCCGGCCGTGCGCCGCGCTCCCCCTGCACCGAGCAGCGGCGTGCTCCTGCGACCACCCCGGCATCCTCACCCGTGCTCCAGCGCCAGCTTGACAAATCCCTTCTGATTCCGGATCCGCAAGCTCAGCGCTCCGGGCTTTGCCTCCAGCGCCTCCAGGGGCCCTCCCACCGCCAGGACGGCCACCTGGCCGCCCCCAGGCCGGGACAACAGATAGGCGGCGCTGGCCTTGGCTGCGGACACCAAACCTGGGGAGGAGGCAAAGGCTGGGGAGGGGGTGGCCCTGGCGCCTGGGTCCTCTAGAGGAGCCGGGAGGGGAGGGCACCGGGAAAGTAGAGCTGGGACCAGGAGCCCCCAGGCGGGAGGAGGGCAGGTAAGAGGTGACAGCAGGGTCTTGGCTCCCGAGCTCGGGGTCCCCACTCCTCACCACTAAGCATGCTGTAGTCCCGGAAGACAGGAAGGTGAAACCAACAGGGCAGCATGAGCAGGTGCGGGCAGAGGCCAGGGAAGAGGCGGGAGAAGCCGGTGGCCTCTGTGCAGAAGTTGCTGAAGGCCCCGATGACCAGGACGCCATGAGGGTGGAAGCCGAAGAGATAGTTGTGGGAGGGATCCAACTCTGCGGTTTTCACCAGCTGGGGGGCAGAGGGTGCACAACCCGCCCTGGCGGTGAGATTGGACGTTTGGGGAAGATGACTCCAAGGGTCTATTTTGTATCTGTCCCCAACCCAGTAGGGGGGTCCTGGGGGCCCTCACCGTGATGGGGAAGTAGTCCCGGAAATGTCTCCAGATGGCCCAGTTGCGGACCCAGGCAGATCTGCGACCTCCTGTCTGTGGCGTGTCCCTGTCTCCATAGAGCCAGACCAGGTAGAGGACCCCTAGTACCCAGGCCCGGCTTAGGAGTGCAAGGATCAGCACAGCCAGGCACACCTGGGCTGGAGGATGGGGAAGGGGGGTCTCAGAACCTGGGCATTTAAGTTCCAGGTCTCCCCCTTGCCCACTCCCTTCCCTGTCCCAACTAATTCCTTCTCACTCCTTGAAGGACCCAGAAGATCCCTGCCCCACCTCCCCCCTTGTGGTAATGGGGCAGCAGAGCCTCAGGTGTGTGTGTGGAGGTTAGGTCCAGGGATTCAGGGACTCACACAGCCCCAAGAAGAGGAAGAGCCATTGTAGGACAGCGAACACCTGGAGACTCCGGCAGAAGAGGCTGGAAGAGGCCGGCATTCTGTAGAGGGGAGTCGCACAGGGGTCACGCTGAGCTCTTAAGCATACCCCCTTTTGGCCCAACCCATTGGCCCTGACCCCGGTTCCACCCCATTTTCATTTCTTTTGGTGACTTGCACACTAGGCTCATGATGAGCTCAGGCAAGGAAGGGTTACCCACTACTTGAGCTCATGAAAATGAGCGGGGGTGGGGGTGGTGGATGGGGGAGGAAGGTGTTTGGACTTTGTGTTTGTCAGGTGTTTGTCCCACCTCTGTGAAGAGCTAACAGAGGGGGGGTGGGGGGTGGGGGGGGGGTGGTTGCCAGAGTGGTGTCGAATGGCAGGGCTCCCAACATGAGTGAGAACAGCCTGAAAACCTTTAGGCAGCCTAGGACTCTGTGCAGAGACGCTGCAGAGGGAAGGGCTTTGTGGGAAAAGCTAAGGATTGGGGAGCCCCTCAAGAGAGGGCCCACTGAACAGTGGGCACCCCTCCAAGTGGGATGGGGCCAGTCCTCACTACCACCATGACCCTACCCAACCCGTGACCGGAGGCCTGTGGGAGCTGGCACCTTCTCCAGGTCAGGGAAGGTCACTTCTTTTATTTTTTTTTATTCCAGGTGTGCTAATGCCAACATCACTACTATATCTGAATCTGGTTATGGTGCTTGTTCTGTCTCTTCAAACTATGCTTTTTGCTTTTTAGTATATCTTGCAATTTTTTGTTGAAAGCCAGGCATGATATCCTATCTAATAAATACAGGATATGCAAATTGTCCATCACTTCGCAACAAAGGTGGTGGCACCCACAGCCAATAAGGAGGGAATATGCAAATTGACATGACAAAGATGGAGGCGGCAGCTCCGGCCCAGAGCAAAGGCGGGAGGTGGCTCAGGCCTGGAGCGAAGGCCCGGGTCCCAGGTGCTGGAGGGAGGTCGGTGCTGGCAGCCAGGGGAAGGAAGGCCTATTCTTGCATGAATCTTCATGCATCGGGCCTCTAGTACTAGATAAAAGGAACTATATAGTAAGTAGGCCTTTAGTGGTGTGGTGGTAAGGTGTGGGGAAGGGGAAGCGTCTACAGTCCTATGACCAAGGCCTCAGTCTTTTAGTGAGCCTGTATCCCTGAACTGTGAACTCCACGCATGCTTCTCTGTGGTAAATGTTTCCCTCCACGTCCCGCGTGGTTCAGGGTTCAGGATCTGGAAGAGGAGCCGCACACAAATGAAAGAGAAAAGACAAGAGATAATTTGGAAATATTGGGGGACCAGGTGGGCAAGTCCAACTCAAGGAGAAGGACTTCCACTGGTGCTCAGGCCGTGTCAACCCTTTATTGGTTTGGGATACACCCATAGCCCTTAGGCAGGCAATTTCCAGTAACAGGCAGACTAGCCCATCAGCAAGGATTTACATAATAATAAATGGGGAAGTTGCTTCAGCTACCATTGTCTGGACTAACAATGGGTGCACAGCGCTGACCTTTGCAAGGGCTTCAAGGATCACCAGCCTTCCGGGTTCCTTGTCCACACCTCTCTGCTAGTGAAGACAATAGGCGGTCTCCCACACTTCTCAGTCTGCTCCAGGTGTGGCAGGGTGGCTAGAGGGGGCCGACTGTACATTTCTCTTTCTCCAGGTTTGATAAGGTCTGATAAAACTCCAATATGTTAGGTTCTGGTAAAATAGCTTCTCTGGAGGTCCGGCCTTCTTAAGGACAGAATGCACTGGCATAGGGAATGTCACTTCTTTAGGAAAGTCTGACACCCATCCCACCAAGTGCCTCTGTCACATGCTTTCCTAGTGTCAACGTAAATAAACCATTGAAACCTGTAAAGAATTTTTGTGAGTTTATTTGAGCCAAACTGTCGACATATGCCGGGAAGCAGAACCTCAAGGAATTGAGATAGTGCTCCGGAGAATGGTAGGGTTACATCCATATTTATACATGAAATTCATTGGTGACAGATTTAAGGAGGTGGGATTAAGCTAAGCGGGGAAACCTCTAGGATAGGATAAAAAGTAAAATGATGGACACATACTTAGGTGGGTGCAGGAACAATTAACATGATAAATGAAAGAATCTGCTGCATCTGTCCTGGGCCCAGCACACCTGGTTGTGCCCCAGGGGCTCCAGATACAGGGAAGTCACAAGTTACCCAGACATTTCAAGGGTATGTTATCATAGATGCAAAAAGACAGATAGGCTCAGTTACGGTAAAGGTTGACCTTATCAGTGAAGATATCGGCTTAGAACGTAACTGCCCACCATGACTGCTTTTAGTTAAGGTTTAATTTCAGACCATCCTTTGTGGTTACTTTAGGTCTCCGAGTCTGCAAAATTGCCATGCAGGCCTCCCCTGAGCTGGTCAGGTCAGCATGTGGCCCCTTTCGTCCACACTAGCATAAAAGATTTCCCCTCCATTATGGTAATTTTCAGATTAAGGTCTCCCCTACACTGTAAGCAACAAGAGGCAGGTAATGTCCTCATCACTGCAGCCCTGGGAGATGCTTTGTAAATGAATGGGCCCACTGTAGGAGACAGCTTCCAATGCCCAGGTTGGCACACCCTTTCTGTCCCATCCTGGCGCAGGCTTCCTGGTCCAGGGACCTTACCAGGAGGCATTTTCTGCTGTCCCTGCTCAGCACACTTCCATCACCAGGGTGAGAGAACTTAAAAGTCTAGCCAGAGAAAGGGGGGGAGGTTGGGGGCTAATGGGGGGGAATGAGCACACATTTGTAATACCTTAACTAATAAAAAAAATAATAATAAAAAAGTCTAGCCAGAGAAATGCTCAGTCCTCGTGGTAAGGCGTGATAAGGCGATCCACCCACTCAGGTGACCTGCCCCACCCCCCAGGAAGGAAGGTTTCCCGGGAGTCAGGCAAGAATAAAGTGGACAGCAAGTGGGGTGTAGGAGGCAGGAAATTTCCTGGGACAGGTGAACAGGCCTGTTTGGTTTTTAAAAGGCTTCTTCTGTAAGCGAACAATTGAAGATAAATTCAGGGAAGATAGGCTGATGCAAGGCTGGGAAAGACCCAGCTGAAGGGGCGTGGCTGGCTGGCCTCAGGGTCCCTGGGTGAAGGGGTCTTGGCAAGGGCCTGATGGCCCCCAGAGGCTGGAAGCAAGACCTGCTCTCAGGAGGCCTCTTTTCCGAGGCTGCTTCATATTCCTCTTCCAGGAGGCTTTCCTTGGAATGACCCACCAGGGCTTTTCCTTTCCTGATACCCCCCAACTAAAAGCTTAGGTCCCAGCAGCAGCAGTAGGGCCCCTGCCTGCCTTCCCTCATAGAACACATGCCCCCAGGGAGCCTTCCTTCTCTGAGCACCATCCCTGGAGCCCAGCTCAGGGATATGCCACCCGCCTTTCATGTAAAGATGCCATCAAGTGATGACAGATGCTATCAGGGAGGAGTGCGGGACAGTGGGGCGGGGGTGGCTTTCAACAGAACCTGACAGTGAAGTCCTTTTGGTTTGGCCCTTCTAAGGCACTTCCCAAGCTCAGGCAATGAAGGGCAGTGAGAACTGGGATCCAGGGAAGCTCCCAGGTTCCTACACATTCTGCTTCTGCCTTTTCCTCTTCTCTGTTCTCTTTCTTTGGAGTAACTCTGGTCTCTCTCTACTCTGGGTGGCAGGAGGGGTGCAAGGTCAATAGGTAGATGAAAGATAATAAATGGACTCGAAAATTACAAATCCTCCTTTATTGGGAGTGAGGCTAAGAAACAATAAGTTATCACATGGGGAACCCCAGAAGCTCTCCCATGAACTCTTGGGGGCTGAAGGGAGGGACAAGGGGGCTCCAGGAGCTTCTTGAGAGGGCTGTGTGTTGGGGGTTGGGGAGCGAGGTGAGACATCCAGTCCCAGACACACCGAACATACACTCAGTAGATAAAGAGCCAGACAGACCCTCTCCAAGGAGTGGGGCATGAGAAGGCACAACGGCAGGAGAGGTTTGGCAGAGTGGTTGAGTGTCAGGGGTCGACAAAGGACACCATGATGTAGCGAGTGCCCCTCGTGGTAGGCAGCCCCTCATGGTAGTGGGTGAGACGGCCCGGGTGCAGAAGCCCCCAGCCCTTCCGTGGGGCTGAGATCACACAGTCATAGCGTAAGAAGCGGCAGCCACCTCCCTGGGAAGGGGACAGAAGGGGAGAGTGAGTAGACATGGTACTGGGGGCAGACAGACACAAGGACAGATACAAGAGGCAGACTAAAGCTATAAGGGAGGGGGCTTTTAGGGGATGGGGGGGGGTCAGCAGATGGGGAGACACAGGAGGAAGCGGGCAGGAGCCAGCCTGGAAGTGACCCAGGAGAGGATAGCAGCAAAATAACTGGGAAATGTGCAGGGGGCAGGCTGTGTGCAGGGGAGTAAGGGAGTGGACACAAGGGTCTAGTAGGGGTGTGTGTGTGTGTGTGTGTGTGTGTGTGCGCACGCGCGCACATGCAGGGGCCCTGGTGGTGCCTGAAGTGGGAAGACGCTAGGGGCTCACCTCATAATCCAGGTCCTTGTGGTTGAGAGCAACATTGAGAGTGAAGGTGGATGAATCGTGATGTGGCCGCAGAGAAGGCTGTTCATCCGGCCGGTAGCGGACCACAAAGTTCATCACTGCCCGGGTCTGTGGGGACATGAGAAAAGAGGCAGAGGGATGACCCTCAGGTCCTGGGGTTCTTCTGAGGAAGTGATAGCTGCTGTCCAAGGAGTGGGAGTAGCTGCAGGGGTCTGGGACTGGGGTGTGGGGAGGTTGAGGGAGCAAGGGTGGCAGGAGCAGCGCCCACCTTGGTGTGGTAGCCTGGGAACAGGCTCTCGGTCATGGGCCCCACGTACGTCCTCAGCAGCTGCAGCCACTGGTCCTCATAGCCCACCTGCTTCATGTGGATGTCTACGGTGGGCACATTCTCGTAGCCTCCAGCTAGTCTTGAGTCCTGTGGACAGTGGGCACTGAGCCCTTGACAGAGCCATGCCAGCCTCCCCTCTCCTCTTGCTCCCAGGTCTTAAAGCCCCTGTTCCCTCGTCTGGAACAGCCTCAACCGCTTCT